GACTTTTGATGGAAATGGCCAAGTGGGAAAATTGTTTTACTAGCATTATGCCACATGGTAAACAGAGAATTTAAGAACATTGTGTGTCTTTCATAAAGCAAAAATGAAACCTTAAGTGTCTAGCACAGTACACACCCATATACATGTAGACCAACTATATATAATTAGTGATCATTAACAACTATTTACCACTGACAGTTTGCAGAGCATTTTTACTTATCTAATCCTCATGATAAATTACAGAAGGAATTCCTTTATTAGTAGACCATGCCAGTAGAGAGAGAATGGCATACAGCTAGATTCTGGTGACAGATTTGGAGACCCAGGGGTTCAAGTGGTCATGAGATTCACCTGATATCAAGGAGACAGCATAGTGAAGAAAGTAGACTGAGAATCACAATATCTGGTTCAAGGTGTTAGCTGTGGGGCCTTGAGCAAACGTCTTCAATATTTTTGTTTTCAATTTCCATATTTCTAAATTATCCTTGCACTGGTGACAGTTTAAGTTTCTGCCCTATCTCCCCTCCTAAAGATCTAAGAATCTGTGGCTTCTCCACAGCACAAGCAGTAGTGTGCAACTGTTTGCTAAACAAGTGAATTTTGCTTCAGAAGTTAATAATAGGTATAAAGAATAAAAGTTACAAGGAGGCTAATGCTAGGAGCTTAGATGTATGTAATAAAGCTATAACAAGCTGTTGCATGAACTTGCCCACACCAGGAGGAAATTAACTGAAGCCTCGATGACCATTTGTCAGGGATTTAGTTAAGTCCAGCAGTAGTTATTAACTGCCTACTAGATAATAGGTACCTAGTGTCACGGGGTGTCAAAGATGAATAAATCCTGGTCCCTGCTCTTACGTACACAGAGTAGGAGAGGCTGAAATGTAAACTGATGCATCAGTAGAGGTATATGCAAGGTGCAGAAGTGGTACTGTGGGTTTCAAGAATGAGTAAGAATTTGTCAGGAGCCTGAGGAAAGGGTGGTCCAGGCAAAAGGTACATTTGGGATATTACCAGTAGTAGGTATCACTGTAAAACAGATTCCCTCTTCGGGTATGAGAGTGAGAGAGAAGACTTTTATAGATAGAAGTGCTTTCAAAAACCAATTTTAAGCCCTTCAGAAGTCCCTAAGATCTTACCATCTCTGATAATAATTCTCTGGGAGGTCATACTCGGGCCAACTGCTTTAAATAAAATATGCCCAGTTCTCTACACATGATATACTAAAACACCAATATATAAGTTATATAGTCATAGAACACATTTGTTTAAGGAACTTTAGGCAGAAGGAAAGCAAGAATTAACAGATTTGAAAAATGATTAAGGGAGTGTTAGCTTGTAAATCAAATTCAACTTTAGTGTAATGCTTAAATTCTAGACTCCTAAAAATAATTTTTGAGAAGGGGCCTCTTACTCTAATAATTAAAACTTTAACCAATTCTGTCATTCTTTGTGACCTTACCCCATTTTTTTCTTCACAGCACTTACCCTTTGCTTGTGTCACACTGTAACATAAGCTCCTTGAGGGTAGAGAATACCTGTCTTGCTCACTGTTGTTTTCTCAGAACCCAGAATAGTACCTGGCACATATTAGAGCTTTCATTTCATTTATTCATTGAATGAATGAACCTTTAGCTGAAGGAATTGCCCCACAATATGAGCACTAGATACACTTAAGTTGTGATTTGGCTGCATGCCCTTTCTACCTAACTAGGCTTTGCAATTCTGCCCTACTTTCCAAGCGGTTGAAGGCCTTTATTTTTAAGGCACTTGACATAAATGCCACCATTAGTAAAAAGTAGAGATTTCTGGACAATTCACTAAACTCCTAGGGTGGCAAGAATAAGAGAAAAATGTGCACCAAGTACTTCTTTGGCTTCTTTAGCCCTGATCCTAGGATCCCTACACTTGGTCAAACAGAATCAGATTCTAATTTCCATCTTCAGTGGTACTCACAAATACTAAATCCATAATGAACAATCTGTACATTATCTCCACAGATCCAAGAAAGGACCGTAGAATAGTGACAAAATGCTGGAGAACAGTCCCTTCCTATTCTACAGCCAGTACCTATCAGGAGACACTGAATTCATCCTATCAGAGGTTAGGGGACAGTCCATATGCTTTTCACATTCTGAGATATCAGAAAAGGTTTTGTGAGAGCACCGGGATTTGGGACTAGAATGACCCTACTGAGACGATGATGAGGCAGTTACGATGACGCCTAGTGTGAAGATGAGAACTACTGAGAATGGGCCCTCTTCCTCTCCTTTTTAGCCCACTCTCCATTATCACTATCGTTATCAAGACTTACATTGGAATTTGTTAACTCTGAACTTAACCAAGAACTTGATTTTTCACTTTAGACAGTGCTTGCTCAGTGTGACTTGAACTGATCAAATTAAAAACCTTGGCGTCATCTTTGAGTTCTCCTTCTCTTTCATTTCCTATTAAGTCACCAAGCCTATTGAAAACTTTTCCATTTGTCTCTCCTTTTTCACTCTTATTGCTAAAGGCTTATCAATTTATGTCTGGACTACTGCGACGGCTTTCTAAGTAGTCTCTATCCTCTCTCTCCTCTAATCCTTCTTATTTACCATTACTCTATGCAGTTTTAAGAACATCCAGTTTCATCTGGTGATCCTCAATTTAAAAAAAAACACCCCCAGGATACCCTTACACCCAATGATTTCATAATGTATAATGGTCATTCCTCAGCCTGGAGCTCAAGACGTTCTACAGTCTGACCCCAGCTCTTCTAAATTGTGTTACCATCATCTATTACTACCATTATCATAAAGGAACGTCAACCCTCTATTTTAGTCAGGTTGCTGTACCTAACATTCTCTGAATATACCACTCAACCTCCACATTCTGATGATGCTGACTTTATAGGGGGTTAACATTTTGAGGATATTTACAGAATTATTCAAATCCTATACATTCTTTAAGATCCAAATGAAGTTTCTTCTCTTCTAGGTCTTTC